ATAAATGCTCACAAGACGGTCTGGCTATATAACTGCTGAAATCCACATCTTATTCAAGCCTTGACCTATAAACTCCCAGAGAAAATTCCTATGGGCTCTGCCAGCCCCATGTCTGCCTGCTGAAGCTATACTACTGGAAGAAAACATGAGCTCACTGTTGGAAATAAGTGTTTCAGGTATCCAAAATTAAAACACAGAATATGTTTTGGCATGGAAACAGTGCCCCCAAAAAAGCAGTTATGTTCCATAGTACTTTTAAAACTAAAGGTGAACTATGTAATGTAAGGCTATGTACATCTGTGTGAGGTTTTCATGACAGTAATCTGAAACAAATAATTTAAAACACAAAATATACTTCAGTTTTTATCGATCTACTTAAAATTAAGTTTTAGACTAAAACCCACTAATAATGCAAAAGGTTGACTGCTTTTATAAAAATTATGCCTGAAGGAAACCTGCCTAAATTGTACATACTATCATCAAAATGCTTCTAAACAAGCTTTTGTGTGTCAACTTTCTTGCCTTTTTAAGTACAGGTTGGGCATCCCTAATCTGAAAATCCAAAATCCAAAATGCTCCCAAATCTGAAACTTTTTGAGCCCTGACATGACACCGCAAGTGGGAAATGCCACAACTGAAACCTTTGTTTTCTGATGGTTCAATGTATACAAACTTTTGTTTTATACATAAAATCATTACAAATCTTATATAAAATTAACTTCAGGCTACGTGTACAAGGTGTATATGAAACATAAATGAATTTCATGTTTAGACTTGGGTCCCATCCCCAAGATATCTCATTAAGTATATGGAAATATTTCCAAATTTGAAAAAAATATCAAATCCAAAACACTTCTGGTCCCAAGCATTTCAGATAAGGGAAAGTCAACCAATACAAATTTCTCTTCTATCCCTCACATTTTTTCACTCTTAATGTACTCTCATTTACTTCTACTCATGAATAAACATGTATTTTCACATTTACTTCACAAGTTTAAAAGTTCTATCAATTCATATATGACCACGTACTTAAATACAGGTCCTAAGGACTGTTTTGTTTTTGTTTTTTTTTTTAATTGCTGGAATTCTGTTTTTAAGTGGAATAGTGTAGGGTGAAAAAAATCCTACCAAGGACTGACACAGGCACTGGGAGCATTGCTGGACTGGGCAGAAGAGCTGCTGAAGAGCACACACAGTCTCTGGTGGTTAATGGGATTCAGACAGTCCACCTAAATTTAAAAGAAGTAATGAATGGATGAGCAAGCGACTGCAACCACATTCAACTCCACTGCATCAAATACACTCCACTCTATTTGTAAAGCCTCCAATTATCACTGTAGGGGCTCCGGTCAAGACTTACAACTACAGGAAACTAAATAAAAGGAAGAAGGGCAGTTGGTTTTTGAGAAAAGACAACTCAAAAAGTTTAAGTTAAACTTAAAAACACAAAACGATGTCTAGATAGCTTGTTTTCTTAACTTACTCTTTAATTTACAAAACTGCACTACATTATTTTAGAAGAAAAATTAAATATATCCATATTTAACAATCTGAACTGATGGGATATAATAACATCAATCTGAGACACCCAGAAATCTAAATTCTAAGGTGTATATTTATCTATGCTTATGCCTGTTTTTGATCATTACAAAGGGAAAACCAGCTCTCTGTTAAAACTGAAATAGTATAGAAGCATTTGAAGAAGTTCATAAAATACACAAAACCTCTCCTCCTATGATTCTCCTCTACCACTGAAGCTGAGCAGTTTGACTCTGTGGTTTTAAAATATCTATTCTTTTTGCTAGTTTACACACCTGTCCCACATACACACATCACTTCCTACCTAAGTACACACAGGGGGTTTTGTTTTTATAAATATGGAATAATGCAAAACATATTAAAATATAACTTGCTTTTTAACACTTCAAATATATCATGGGCTTTATCCAAGTCATTAAATGACTTGAGATCTTGCTCATCATTAAACTGTTTCAATAAACATCTTTGTACATATATTCTTACAAAATGAAAGCACCCTTATATAAGCACACTTAATTATTTCTGCAGGATAGATTATAAAAAGTTGGAGTCCCGGGTCAAAGGCATATACATGTATGTGTAAATTAATAAGAGGCTTTCCTATCACTTTCTATAAATTTGTATAAATTTATACAAATGTACATACACATACATTTGTATAAGCTTACATGAAATTTATGAAAGGTGTTTTTCCATGCCATCATTAACCATGGGTCTTTTATCACTTTCCTTTTTGCCAGTCTCACAAATAAAAAATTATTTAGCACTTCCTTGACTACTAGGGAAATTGAACATATATTATTTAGCACTTCCTTGACTACTGGTGAAATTGGACATCTTTTCGTTTTATTAAACAATTGCATTTCCTCATCTAGCAATGGATTTGTTAATTAGTTTTACTGCATTATTATCAATAATAGATCTATAAACCTTCCTTAATTTGCTCTCAATTTATGCCTAGAAAGAAAAAGGTCACTGTCGTAGTTAAATAACAAGGTAAAATGTTTTATGTTAAAGAAAAAAAATAGAGCTACCTTTTTTTAGAAAACAAATCTATTTCCTGCTAACTTCTTTTAAAAAAACACATCTATTTCCTACAATAAGCTTCCATCTCTCACCCCCTGACACTAGGATCCAGGATATCATACCACATCCAAGTCATGTTGTCAGAAATTTTAAGCAGCTCCCCATTTCCCTTTACTTCAAGGATCTGCCTAGCTTACTATAAGCTCATCTTAAAACCCTGAAACCCAGTTTCATTACAATTCTGCTTCATACGTATTAAAGTAACACATAAGCCAGCAGACTCAAGACAAAAACAAAAATAGCATAGGAGAAGAAATATTTCACAAATCTGCATGCAGTCTGCCAAACTGATTTTTTAGCTTGCCTTAGAGGAGTCATTCAACACATCCTAATGTACAAGAGCATCAAAAAGTGGTCTGGCTCACCTTTGTTGACCACACAGCATCATTCGGAATAAGCCCTCTCTCTTCATCACCCTCATTTTTGCTTCCTGATTTGCCACTTGAAGTACTTGATGCATCCTTTGAATGAGCAAAAGGGTCTGAATTTTTGGGCTGAATTCTTCCTCCTCTGGCTCGATAATCGGCCAGCATTCTACCCAAGCTCTGGCTATCGCCCAGATGCTCAGCAATTCTAGTGCTCACAAGCTCATGTGAGGGTAAGACTTGAATACACTTGGCCTGAATACTTCCGTTCATGCCCTGAAGTCCAGAGAGATCCCTGAGCAGCTGTTTCTTCCTCCTGTTCTCCATTTCTTTGAATTCTTTATTGAGGAGAGGAGACCAGTAAACCTGCTCTGCAAAATAATCTCGGGTAGAGCATCTCATCCCCTTTTCAGTTAAAAGAAAGGGTTCTCGGAATGTGATTACTGGGGAGATACAGAGGATCACATCTTTCAATTCCTGCTTAAAGGCCAAAGAATAAGTCTTTCGTTTATCTTCAGAGGAGGCGACTTCCTCAGTAACATATAATCCAGTGTCATCCTGTAGAGGGTCTCTAAAGGCTCTTATCTGGCTTTTGGGATCCTGCAGCACAACTGTTTGCTGCAAACTCTCTGGCTGCTCACTGCCTAAAGCATCTTGTTGGTCATCCACAGGAAGTGGCAACAATGATTCCGGTACAGGTGGAAAGAAAGCACAAGCGAGACCCGCCGGGCAAGTTGTTGTGCTATGTTCCTGATGCTTCACAGAGGCAACAGCCTGTGGAACATTTTTATTTTCCTGCTCACCCTTCTCAAACACAATCCTCGATTCCAGCAAACTGCTATCATCACAGGGCAGAGACTCAGGAGGGATGTCAGGATCCCAGGGGAGGGAACCTCCACCGTACTGCTCTTGGACAGTCCCCTCATGCCCTCGTCCCTCAATCAGGGAATGGAATGAAGGGTTTTGCATTAATGTGGGAGGCATAGCAAATTCATCCATGAGAAAGGAGATTTCTAGTTGAGAATGATAAGCAACACAGATCATAAATATTAGGATCTCCTTAACTCGAGCCAGCTCATAATCAGAGCCTCCTCTCAGCTTGATTGTACAGCCTAGGTGCTGTGGACAACCTTCAAAAAACATCAGCGTCTTGGTTTGCTCTACAAATAAAAACAAACAAAAAGTTAAGATGGTGGAGGTGGCAATCCGGAAGTCCAAATAGAATCAATTCACTCTCTTAACATCTGTGAAAGAAAAACTCTTACATGAATAAGACCACAGTTGCCTATCCTCGCCTACTATTAATAGATATTTCCTAGTAAGTAAACATTGTAGTAGTGATAAGTTAACTCTTTTCCTCAGGTCAACCTATGCTAAAGATCACTCACCATTAGGCAACTGAAATATCTGCATATAAAATTTGTGACAAGTGCCCAGGTGTGGTTTCGTAAGCAGCTGGTCCATCGACATCACTAAATCACCTTGGGTCATTCGACTGATTCGTTCCAAAACTTGCTACAATACACAAAAACATTATATTACAAAACTAGAGAAGAATAAAAATCTTTGTAAATTTAATCTGGAAAAGTGATGGAAAAATTAAAAAATAACACTCACAATAAATTTCCTTTTTAATAAATATATGATGAATTTTTTTATTCCGGATTCTTCTATATTTAGTTGCTTAGTAATCAATATGTGCCCACTGAAACCTTACTCATATTAATAACATTATCAAAATGCATTTAAGCATCATGGATTACCACAAGATGCTGTGAGGAGAAAAAACAACTTTCTAGAATTGGTCCCTATTCTGCAGAGGGTAAACTTTTGAACGGAGAGAACATTTTCTGCTTGAGCAATTCTCCAACGAAAATGAAGGATCAACGAATACCTAGTGATTAACTAATGTCCATTTCACTTTTGGTCTTGTAGACATCAATAATAAGCATTACATAATCAATTACACTTTCTTCCAGTCTGAGATTCTCAATCTTAATGAAATAGGTGCCGTATCTTCTGATCCACTTTCAATACGTATGGAACAGCAAAGACTAAGATTCTTGTATACCTATCATATGTACATATAAATTCAAAAGCTGCAATTTTTTAAAATAAGTAGAAAAAATAAAATAGAAAAATAAAAACACTCACCGATTTTACATTAATGACCAAAGTAATACCATGTTCCAATAACATGTCCTGGGCAATCCGAGACACTGTTTTCTCAACTAGAACCAAGGTGGGTCGAACATCAACTATTCGCTGAACATAATTCTTCAAGAATTCTCTTTCCTAAGTAAGATAAATCAGAAATATCACACTTGGTAAAACGCAATATCTGGACATATTAAAATATCAAGATAGCTTCACTATTATTATCAATCTTAGCCTAAATTTTCTTCATCCACAAATAAGTCTGTAAGCAAATTAATTCAAACAAAGTAAGAATCTCATTCGTCATTCTAAACTTGATTATGCTGACAAGAGTTTCAGAAGAAATTCCATTCTCCAACTAATTTTCCTTGAAAGATTTTCAATTCTTAATTTAAAAGCCAAGAATGCAATTAGCTAGTTCAGAGGTTAAAAAAGCAAGAACAACCAAAAAACCTAACCTCCAAACTCCCAAAATAAAACCCATTTCTATGTTTGTTTGTTTGTTTGTTTGTTTTAAGAGATGGGGTCTCATTCTGTCATCCAGGCTGGAGTGCAGAGGTGCCATCATAGCTTACTGTGACCTCAAAGTCCTGGGCTCAAGCAATCCTCCTGCTTCACTCTTCTAGGACTACAGGCACACATCACAATGCCTGGCTAATATTTTCTATTTTTTTTGTAGAGACAGGGTCTCACTATGTTACCCAGGCTGGTCTTGAACTCCTGGCCTCAAGCAATCCTCCTGCCTTCAGCTCCAGAAGTGTAATGATAAGTGTCAGCCACTGTGCCCAGCCCTAAGTGGTTTTAATATGGTTACAAATTCTCTCCTCTACATTCTGAAACCAAAATGAGTTATCTCTCTTTCTGGATATCTGAACAAATAACTCTTTAACAGATGCTACTTCAGCAACTTCCTAATTCCAATTTCCCAACAGATCATATAATACCTAGAACAGCCACAGTTAAAGATCTCAAACATAATGCTAATATAATTTTATCACAAAGGTTTAATTTCAAAAGAAATGAATATTGTGGCTGGGTACGGTGGCTCACGCCCATAATCCCAGCACTTTGGGAGGCCGAGGCGGGCGGATCACCTGACGTCTGGAGTTCAAGACAAGCCTGGCCAACACAATGAAACCCCGTCTCTACTAAAAAATACAAAAATTAGCCGGGCGTGGTGACAGGCACCTGTAATCCCAGCTACTTGGGAGGCTGAGGCAGGAAAATAGCTTGAACCTGGGAGGCAGAGGTTTCAGTAAGCCAAGATAACGGCACTGCACTCCAGCCTAGAGGACAAGAGCAAGACTTCATCTCAAAAAAAAGAAAAAATAAGAAAGAAATGAATATTGTAAATAACAACCAGAGTTAAAACAATACAATTCACTAATTGCTTCATAGTATTTCTGGGCTCCAGATGGGAGACAACTAAAGATGAGCATGTTTGCCACTCCTACTCCATGTGCCCAAAGTGTCTTCTGAGCAAGACTGTATTCACGTCCCTTACCACCCGTAATGGATGAGCCTACTCACTGCAGTAAACTTGCCCTATTATGAAGTATATTGCTTCTTGCCTTTGTTTTACTGATACTATTTATTTCAAATTCTCCCATTATTAACAAAATGGATTTTTTTCCTAAAATGTGTTAATTTCCTACTCTACTTACTAACTTGCAATTTAACAGCATTTAAAATAATTTTATTTGTTCAGCTCTAATAAAGTACAATCAGAATCTGTTTTTTTGTTTTTTTTTTAAGTTTCTGCCTGTGGTAGTACAAAGATGGCAAATAACTTTCCTTCCAGTTCCAATTCTAATCAACTATCATGACTACTCATGAAATACCATGTCAAAAAGGAGGCCTTGTCCAAGCTCAGCAAGGGAAGAGTATCAGAAAGTAGGCCATAAGCACAGCAGTGGTGAACCAAGAGATCTAGTAGACCTCGCCTTGTAAAGAAAGTAAAAAGTCACAGGCTAATTATCTCCTTGACCTTTGTTTCTCATCCTCCTTTTTCTGAATACCTATCTTTCAGCTTCTTCTCTGATTCGTTATTCCACATCAGATAAAAAAAACTCAAATGAGCTGGTACTTTCTATTAATTCAGAAAAAGTTCAAATCAGCTGATATTTTCTATCAATTTAAACTAAGAAGTTTAAGTAGGGCAGGAGTTAAAGGTATAATAAAAACTATGTTTGAAAGTTTTGATGAACAAGATGCTTTGTTAATGAGTTAAACCATGTTTCCTAAGTACAATCCCCCACAGCATACCTCTCTAACAAAAAATCTTTAGTCTATTAACCTGATTGTAAACATAGAGTAATAATAATGTGAATAAATTTAGCTGTAACTTTAAGTAAACAAACACCTGTAGATTACAATTAACCTAGTTCATCAATTCCAAGACATACAATTTTACGAATTTTAACATCTCTGCAACCAGGATGCATCTCAGTCAAAGCAATTCTGATCTGATCATGTGAAAGTCTTCTGCTGACAATCTTCTGTGGAATCAACAAAACCTCCAGCATCAAATTATCTTAGGTTCCATGAACATAATTATTGTATTTCCCTTTATTCCTTTAGAGTTCTCTACTAAAATGTCTAGTCAAAATCCATCGTTTTTACTGATGGCACAGCTGAATTCGAAAGAGAAAACAGCCCCAGCTCACAGAGTTCTTAAGTAATACAGCAGAGTTTTATAAAGCACTGTCCCTTTTACTACAAACTCAGTTTCTCTTATTGTTATCTATGAAATCAGGACAAAAGTGATTGCTCCTATCACTCTTGAAAAAATGTATTTACCTAGGAATTTTCAAGTAATACTTTTCCTAAATGTTTCTGGAACCCAATATAAGTGTTTCCACTGTAATATAATACACACATTCCTAAAAAGCTTCCATTTTGAATAACCACAAAATAAAATTAATAGCATTTATGGCAGAAAAGGAGCTGGGGCAGAAAACTTAAAACCTATGCAATTTTATATCTTCAGCACTAACAAAAATAATAACTGGTACCTTAAGAGGAATCACGGAGAGCCCAGGCAGAGAGCTTCGTATGGCATGAGGCTGCCTCAAGTGAAATTAAATGCACAAAAACTATTGCAATGCTACAACTGTAAATGGAGCTCTGAGCAGTAAAGCTACCAAGAACCAGAGATGTGGGTGTACCTCCCTGGGGAAACAGCCCTGTAAGCAAAAGCTCACTTTTACTTTCTTAAAATAGAGCTGGAAGGGTTTCTGCCTGTGTAGCAGCTGAGCTGAGACTGTTTTCCTTTCCGGCTGAGGGTTATAACCTACTGCAGCTATTCGGGGCCTCCTTGCTTAGGAAAAACCACTTAGAAACCAACACAACTTCCATCTGACATTATTCTGTTTGCCAACTACATATAAGCTAACTGGTGTTCTAGAAATGTGTTTTAGTAGCATAAACTGTATTACAAACCAGAGATTCCATTAGAAATCTGGTAAGTTCAAGAAATTCTCACGGTCTGATTTACTGTGAGAATTAAATACTTAATCCAAACTAGTATTTGGATTAAGTGGGAAAGGGAAACCAGTATTTAGATTTTCACCTTTTGTTCCTTATATTCTTGAACAGTTACATGTTACTTTTAACACTTTGAAACTTTAAAAATAATGAGTGACAGAGGTTTTGGTAAGCTATCAAGTTTGCCTATCCAATTTAATCAGTTAGAATTAAGTCAAAATCATTAAGAATTTATAAGCATCATGATACACAAACATCCCTCCAAATTATTTTTAGTAGTAAATTCTTACCTGAAGCACAATAGGATCAATGCAAGTAAACTTAGTTTCTTCTCTGTAGAGATACTCAATGGAACACTTCAACAGAAGAATTTTGGGGTTTTTAATACAAGAATTCATCTACAAAAAAAAGAACAGTTTGTTAAAGTTTTTAAAGGTTTGCATTTTACAGCCCTCCTTTAATTATAACTTTAAATCTATATTGTTCATAATTCCTACTAACTTAACGTATCTCATATTAGTATACTCTCATTTAGTTCTTTTACGGTATTAAATTTTTTCAAAGCAAATAATATGTTCAGAACAATACAAAATTCTTCAAAAATTGGCTTTGCTTTCTTAATACTACTCTGATCTTCTATTCTCTTAACTTTTTTTTTTCATTTCTGATGTTGAAAGAAGAGACATCATGCCCTGAGTGTGCACGGAGGGAGCAGTATTTAATAATGGGTTACTTCACAAACTCCAAGAAATAAGCAACTTTAAAAGCATATTTCAGTCTGTCTAAAATTCAAGAGGAGAAGAGGGAGAAAAGAATTAAAATGCCTCCTGAACATATTTCTAACAGAAAACATTTCCAATCATTAAGGTGGCAAGCTAAAATAGGTACCATGAAGTTCAAAAAGAAAATGTGAAAGCATCTCAAGCAGAGACTCTAACAATATACCCTAACCTTACAGCCACAGGCAGAATAGCAATTGAGGTTTCAGGCTGACCAAGTTTATGGACCCCAAACAGCAAACAGTTCCAAAAACAGTGACTCACTAGCTGGGAAACTCAATTCAGGACACTTTGTAGCAACTACAAATCAAAGACTATCTCTAATCAGTGGGACAAGACAGTCATTCATGCATATGTTTCCACCACACCTACATACAAATTTTCTTCACTTTCTGAGAAGGTGTAACATATTTACCTCTTAATTCAACAAATATCATTTAATTTGGTTTAAAGTTCTCCTTTAAAGGGTAATGTGTGGTTTTAGTAAGACTCTGTGTAGAAATACTGACTAATGTGGAATTACTGCAATAAAATATGCGATAAGTAAACAATTGAAGCCAAGCATATTTTTATTTATCTATGGTCACTAACAATTGTCACGAATCTTTTTTTTTGTTTTTTTGGAGACAGAGTCTCGCCCTGTCACCCAGGCTGGAGTGCAGTGGCGTGATCTCAGCTCACTGCAACCTTCACCTCCCGCATTCAAGCGATTCTTCTGCCTCAGCCTCCCAAGTAGCTGAGACTACAGGCACACACCACTATGCCTGGCTAATTTTTTTGTATTTTTAGTAGAGATGGGGTTTCACCCTATTGGCCAGGCTGGTCTCAAACTCCTGACCTTGTGATCCGCTTGCCCCGGCCTGCCAAAGTGCCAGGATTACACGCTCGGCCTAGTGCCTACTTTAAATATGGTACCATCATTTCCCTAACATCCATACATTCCCATTGCCCTTAACCTACTGAATGAGAATTTCTAGGGGTTAGGCTGGGAACAGACATTTTTAAAAGGTCCACATGTGATCTCAATGTATGTACACTACACTTTGAGAATCAAAAGACTTCAGAATAAAGTTCAAGACCTTTAATGAGATACAAAGCCCTTGCCTGTTTCCTCCAGCTTCATTTATATTGCCCATATTACACCTTAGGAGCTCAGAGTCTCCGTAACACCCCAGGTTATCTCACTCCACTCCTTTGTGCTAGTGCTACAAAGACATAAGACGAGAAGGAAAACAGAAGAAAACTGACAGCTCTGTAGCCTAGCGCTAGAAGAGCTATCAGCTTTAGAATGCTAAGCCTCTGGAAGGACTCCAGCCTACTAAAGAAACCCTGTCTCCCTAAGATGTAATGGGATCAGGAGATAAATAATGCTAGTATCTTATCATTCTGCTGATCTAGAAGCCTGATCCTCCCCACTTCCTCCTTCTGTCTGGTGAATTCCCATTATTCAAATTCCAATCCATTCATCCTCAGCTCTGGGAAATCTTCCCTGAACCTACCAAATTTCACCCCTATGGCAGACACAGCTGCCTTTCATTGTCCATTGTCCATTTCTTCCATGACTAAGGTGCCCCAACTTGTTATCTAAGCACACAGCCATGGTTTGCTGAACTTCACTGCTGAACTGAATCACATTACCTTTTTATGTGCAATGTTCTTGGTACAAACAAAGCCATTGACAACCACAGAATCAAACTTCTTTCCACCTGGGATCTAATGGAACAATTAAGAAAACAATACAATTCAATAATAACATGCTTAGAATCTAGTCAGATGTATGCTATTATTTCTTTCCATTTCTTTTTAACTATTGTGTAATCAAATAAGAACAAAAAATTTCAGGAAATAATTGTTCCTTTCAACCAATGATCAATGGCATGTCTGCATGACTCTGTTTTCTCATCCCCTATTCTCTAATGTACTATACTAGGACTCTAAAGTACTCACTGACTGAATAAACTGGTGCCATGTGGCAGTTAACACTACTGTTTAAGTTAAATATCACAGGGAAAAAGCACACACAGGACTCCATTACTATCTAAATCAGAGGTGTCCAGTCTTTTGACTTCCCTGGGCCTCACTGGAAAATGAATTGTATTGGGCCACACATAAAATACACTAACAACAGTGGATGAGCTTTAAAAAAAAAATCACAAAAAATGTCGTAATATTTTAAGAAAGTTTACGAATTGGTGTTGGGCTGGATTCAAAGCACTCTTGGGCAGCATGCAGCCCACAGGCCACGAGTTGGATAAGCTTGATCTAAATAAAGCAAATTACCCACTGCTTTTCCTCAGAACAGTGATCATAATCTGTGAGAATAGGGTTTCTCATAGCTGACGTGTCAAGAAGAGGAAGTAAGTAAGGAAGAACCTGTATCGATTTGAGTTCCCAACCCATCTCTGATATAACTCATCCTTTCCATTCACCTCTCACTTCCTATGCGTGGCTTCCATGACTCCTAAGTGCACTGCTAACAAACAAAGCAGACAGCAAAACCTCCTACTCCTCATCTAGCAACCCTCAGGGTAATGACTCCTTTTAGATTACCATTAAGAGAAAAATTATAATCAGTCCTGCCTCATCACTTCCTAGCATTAGTAAAACATTAGCAGAACTCACTTTTTTGATGTGGACAAACTGACGGATATCCATGTCATCATCCTGGTTCTTGACATCAGGTCGGACTGTCTGAACAACCTGGCAGACCAATGACACGATGATGTCCCTCCAAGATGATGACAGTGAGTCACTATGGAGCAACTGCTGGAGTAGTGCCATCATGTGGTTATGATTAGCTGAACTACAAAAATATTATAAGAAAGAAATTTGCATAGTTAATACTGCCAGAGACAATAATTCTGATGATAAAACAGTCTACAAAGAAATAAACATTTCAATTACGGTTCACAGATAAGATTTTCTAGGTCAATATCATTCTTTCATTATATCTGTACCTTAAGGATTTTGCATATAAATGAAATCTGAATATCTTCCACTAAGAAGTTCCCTGCAACTGACTGAAATGAAATTTTAACA